TCTTTGTTAATATGTCCATGACCAATTTTTATTCACATCGTTATAGGTCATAATCGAAAAATTTATAACTCGAACAGATTTTCCATCTAGAAACAAGCTGCCTATCTAGCAAAAACTGGAACCTGTGAAACAAACTTATCACGTAATGGAAGCACTCTTGAAGAGAAAAAACATAACACAGTGGCAACTTGTCGTAGTTTTATCAGAGGTTTAAAGAGATCTTGAATGCCATTATAAGCATGTATCGATAGGAATATCAAGTTTCAAGCGAACCTTAAAAACTAGTCTTGAGAACCTTCTTTAGTATGGGCCTCCTTCGTCTTATGAAGGTTTTATGGCTGTTTTAGAGTAGCTTTGTAGAATAATTAGTTTTATGTTCAGTTTTATAGAACTTGTCTTGAAAACTTCTTCAAGTGTACCATAAAATTCATTTTGTTAATATTAAGCCTAACGTCAATTATACCTTATGTATTGTCCATTGTGCCTGACGTATTAATTCCAAATTCCTAACCACCTTGTACCAGTTGGTGATTATGAAGTATTATGAACTGTTAAGCTATGACAATCATTATACTGTTGGTAATGGTAAAATGTTCGAAATTAAAAGAATCTTGATGCTACGATTTTAATCTCGTATCCACCATTTTGAGCTTGTATATGTGGCGCCAAATGAAATAAAATGCAACTACTTAACTCAAATCTTACGACAGCACTGGTTAAAAACAAGTTAAAATCTGGAACATATTGTGTATCTGGCAAGATGGTTTAATAATATCTGGAAAATCCAGCTAAATCTGGTATACTGTCAATGTTTCCGACAACAGCAAAGTGAAGAATTGCGACGCAAAGGATAGCACGATTACCGCAGTACTCGGCCAATGAGTTCAACCCAAAGTTGAGTTCAGTTTACTCATAATCGCAAACATCGCTGATCGGTGTCAAAAAGCATTTACGTTGTTAGTTGGTTCCACTAGTTAATGCCAACTGTTTAGAGCAAGTGGCCGTTTGTGTTTCGTTGCCAATGCAGTCGGTCTACATATGTTGCGTCAACTTAAGGCCTAACTCGGACTGCGCCATGTACTCCAATCATGCATCTTGTGTTCAAGAATTGTGTGAGCTTGCTGAAACTACCGATACAGTCAGACTATCATGGCAATTTGATGCCGACATGAATTCTTACATCCCGACCAACGCTTCATCTGAACAAGAAATTGCTCTAACCCAGTCGATCCTTGCATGTGGATTACAGCAGGTTCAGGATGTACGTAACGTAAACGAGAGATTACTTGACTTGGCTTTCGTTAGTGATACTGACAGAATCGAACTTTTCGAATCGCCCTGTGGATTTTTAAAACTCGACGCTCATCACAAATCTTTTATCATCAAATTTGACTACCTTCGTAATACTGACGACGTTGGGCTGGACCGCTGATATTACGATTTCAACTTCTACAATGAACCCCTTATCAACGCCCGGATAGGCTCGGTAGACTGGACGACGCTTTTGACTGATTGTGACGTTGACGATGCTGTTTTCCGGTTTTATATTCACTACAATCAACCATGGTGGACCACGGAACTTAGGAACCTCCGAAACAGGTTACGGATAGCAAGGAAACGTCTTTTCAAACAACGGGCTGAGGAAAACAGGCGATATGTATTGCGCATTGAGTCGGAGGCAAAGCGGGATCCATCGACTTTTTGGACCTACGTGAAGAAACTTAGGCGGAATGGCGGTATACCACTCGATGTGTCCTATAAAGAAGCTTCTGATCTCTTCGCAAAATTCTTCAAGGATGTTTTTCGACTACCCCTCCCGCTCATTCTCCGGATGATCGTCGTGACTGGATGAGCAGCATAGCTCATTACAACTTGCATTTGCCGCAGTTGGATGTATCTGTTGAAGAGGTGATGAAAGTTCTTTCATCTGTAGATCCTTCTAAAGGCCCTGGTCCAGACTGTTTGCCGCCATCGTTCATTAAGAAATTTTCTGCATCTCTCGCTTCACCTGTGTCGATTATCTTCAATCGTTCGCTAGTTAGTGGTGTTTTCCCCACAATGTGGAAGGTTGCGTCCATCACACCTATTCACAAAGCTGGAAACATCCACAATGTTGAAAATTATCGCGGAATTTCGATTCTAAGCTGCCTCCCAAAAGCTCTGGAGAAGATCGTATATGAGGTCGTATATCAAGCGGTTAGGCCAATAATTACCGAACATCAGCACGGCTTCGCGAGGAAACGCTCTACAACAACCAACTTAATGGTGTTTGTCAACTCGCTGATCAACTCCCTTGAAAAACGACGACAAGTTGATGCGATCTACATGGACTTCAGTAAGGCGTTCGATAGGGTTCCACATGTGCTTGCAGTGGACAAAATGGGGGGTATGGGATTACCTAATTGGGCCACGAAGTGGCTACAGTCTTACATAACTGGCCGCTCAGCCTATGTGAGCATTAACGGTGTTAATTCGCCTAGTTTCGAGATACCCTCTGGTGTTCCCCAAGGTAGCCATTTGGGGCCTTTAATTTTCATCCTGTTCGTGAACGATCTGTGTAGTCGACTGTGTTCTTCGAAACTTATGTTCGCCGATGACTTAAAGATCTTTCGTACAATTAAGTCAAGACTTGACTGTTGCACACTCCAGAAGGATATTGATTCCCTTTTGCGCTGGTGTACATTGAACGGTATGCAGCTTAATGTCACAAAATGCTGCGCAATATCTTTTAGCCGTTCACGCGAGCCCTTACGACATGACTATAGGATAGGACTCAGTAGTTTGCTCTTCGTTTCTTCAGTTAAGGATTTGGGTGTTATCATCGACTCTAAAGTCAGATTCAATGAGCACATCTCCATGATAACTGCTAAAGCATTCGCCACATTAGGTTTCTTGAAACGAAACACAAACGCATTCCAGAACATCTACGCGCTGAAATCACTATACTGTGCTCTCTTCCGCAGTCTTCTAGAGTATGGTGTTGTTGTGTGGGCACCCTTTCACGCTATTCAAGCTAACAGAATCGAAGCCATTCAGCGAAACTTCGTAAGATACGCTTTACGTGTTCTGCCCTGGAACGATTCGGTAAATTTGCCGCCTTACGAAGAACGGTGCAGGCTGATTGACCTGGACAAGTTGGCAGAGAGGAGGAAACTACTTCAGCGACTCTTCGTGTTTGGATTGCTTAACGGTGACGTGGATTGCAACTCTCTTGTGAGCCAAATCTACACCAATGCTCCTCAAAGAGTTTTTTTTATATAATGCGTTTATTTTTCCAGGCTCATTTTCTATAGCTTTGCGGGGCCAATATTCATTGATTAGATTACAAATAAACTTAAAGAGTTCTACGTAGTTACACGCTTCTGTGGCAACCTACCCATCGGACCAACTATGGATTCAACGAACCGTGGACTTTGTGCTGTCGTGTGTTTAATGAAACGTTTGATGTATATGATTTTAACATTAGTAAGTCTACTTACAGACATAGAATTCGACACCTAGGCTAGAAAATATCTGTACAACATTATGTTGAAGATTTAATTAAATAAATAAATAAATAAATAAATAAACATTGCAGGAACTCAGCGATAAGTAAATTTGCTTCATGTTTTCTTGTGGAAAACCTAAAAAATCTGCTGGAAAATGATAAAAATTGACAAAAGGAGTAGAAAATAGATAATCCAATCTCTAATTTTCTCATATTCGAGATTTTTTCCTGGAAAATAAAACTGGGAAACCTGGAAAACATGAGGTAAATTTACTCATCGCTGTGACCCTGTAATTTTTGCGATTTATTAGTAAACTAAACTAAAATTTGGGTTGATCTCATTGGCCGTGTACGATGATAGAGGAAATGCTTCTTCTGACCAAGTTGTCTGAATTTCCACGCCTCACCTATGAGCAGATCATAGACTGAGAAACGCTTATGTACCTAGAGTGTTCCTCGACGTCTGCGTTAGTTAAAAAACGTCCAAGTACCTTAAGTACACTTCTGTTTATAGTTGTTATTGAAACTGAGGGAAACGTTATTTTCCGAACCTTTTGATTATGAAAGGATTTTTTTAATCTCATTCATCGATCAAAATTTATTTAGCACATACATAATATATTCGTAAATTCAATGGCTGGCAAGCGAGACAAAATCGGTAGCCATTCAACCACATTTATGGTTCCCATAACATCCAGCAACGTACAGACAAGCGTCAGAAAAGCGGTAAGTTTTCCACCCACCCTTGAACTGATAACAGAATTGCGAATAAAAAAAAAATCTAATAAAATTCATTTCCATTCGCTTTCACACCACTCTACGCAAAATAGTTCTTCGCTACCGATAAATAACAACTCACCGTTCAAAAAGTTCCATTCCAGTCGGGCTCGGCGTTCCTTGGAGCAGCTGAAAAACCCGGCCTGCCGTATCGTTGATCCGACAGCCGTCCTGGAATCCGCCGCCACCGCCACAGCCACCGCCAAAGTTTGCCGTCAAGCAACCTTTTAGCTCTTCTATGTATATTTTGACTTGGACGAACATGCTCCATCCATGCGCCTTTCGTGACCGTGGATCCGTTCAACAGGAAAACACCTCTACCATCATCACCTGCTCCATCGATTTCCCCGGCCCACACCAGGACCATACTCACCGCAAAGTGGAGCACCTACTACATAAAGAAGGCATCGATGGCCGGTCGGTACACCAAAAACAGGAAACTTTAAAGCCAGAGCGCATCGAAACGGAGGCACACTTTTCCGCTGAACCAGCGGAGCTTCTAAACCGACCAAACAAGGCGGACGAACGGGCAGACTTTTTTTTTCTTTGACGCAGGTAGGATGCAGTTGGAAATGAACAAACGTAAATAAAACAAAACGAAAGGATATTATTCTCGATTTCATTTACTTTAGTTTTTTTTTTCTTTTCTTTATTTCTCATTCCTTCCTAAAAGATCGTTTACTAAGGTATGTAGGTTTTTCGCTCTGTACTAGCACTGTTTTTTTCTCTTTCTCTCTTTCTCTCGTTTGCACAGAACTTGTATTACAACTCTCGCATCTCTCATTGCTTCGTCCTTCTTCGAGCGACATGCAGATCCGGAAGAAAATTCTTCGTTTAGTTTCAAAGTCTTTGGTTTTTTTCATTTTCTCCAGCTTTTTACCGCTTTTGCATTTATTTTAAATTAACTTTTTACAAGTTTTCCATTTTCTGCTTTTTCATATATAAAACTAGCCTAGCTTTTTTTTCCTTAATTTTTCGATTTTTTCAATTTAACCATTTATATACTTTTCTGTTTTTCTTCTTGTTTTTGTTTTTTTTTTTAATGTGTATATATAATTTATTCCTTCGCTATAATTATATAAACTAGTTTTCTGTTCTGTACACCTAATTAATTACCATTTTCATTAATAATTAAATTACAAGTCTTTTTTCATTCCGAACAGGATTACCTTTTCCGAAGGTGTCCTCTCGTGCGCCCATTCGCTTCCGCTTCCTGCATTTCACTCGTACCTACACAGCGCTGTCTTCATTATCATTTGTGTTTACAACATTTACTAGTTATACTCAGTCGACAACCCCGATAAGGAAAACTTGGTGAAAACCCTCTCTCTTGCTTTCGTTCGACCTTCCAGGAGAATTGTAATCAAACAACCGCAGGCGTGTACCTCTGTGTGTGGGTATGTATGTGTGTGTGTGTGATAAATGTGTATACAAAATAAATGTAACAATCGTTCGTTCGTTCTGCACCTTCGCGCTTAAAACTGCACATTCGAAAACAAAAACTTTAAAAAATTGACTACACATCAGTACCGCATCCTTCCTGGTAGCCCTCGTCTGGGGAGTTCCGACTGTTGGATAATGCACGTTTCAAGGCCGTCACTGGGGGCAGCACCGGTACGCCACCTTTCTGCCACACACGCAGGGTTTTTGCATTCATCGGCATGCTTCCGGTGCTGCCGTGGTGTGCCGGCTGTATACTGCTGAGTTTGTTGTGCAACTGCTCCGCTCCGGGCACAATGGGCAGCCCATAGTCGGAGGGATAGCCACCGCCGCTGGTTGCGTTGGTACTGCCGATATTGACGGCAGTGGTGGTTCCCCCTACGGCACCTGTCACGTTGGAACCACTGCTGCTTCCTCCGCCAGCAACACCGATCGTACCGCTGCCACCGAAGTGAGTCCGCGGAAACGTCCGACTCAGATAGTCCACCGAAGAGGTTTCGTCGTCCAAGTTCATCATATTGTTGTTAGCACCGATGATGGGGATCTTGTCCGAATATGCCGTGTAGCCTCCGCTAGCGATCGTGGGACCGGGAGCTCGCGCCAGCAGCATATCACTCGTCTGCTCCAACGCCGACGTTAGATTGGAGCTGTGCGTTTCCCACAGACCGGAAGGATACAGCGAATCACAGCCAGCCCGACTGTACTCGCCACTGCCCGGTCGCTCGATGGGATCCATCAGCGAGAGAGTATTGAGCGCATTGGCCACATTGGCCGACAGCGATCCACTTGCAGCGCTGTTGATGATATTGTTATCGAGTAGCCCACCGGTACCGGCCAGATCACCAATACTTCCGAGCCGTTTCGTGTCGTTGATCAAATCTGGGTTGTTCCCAGCGGACGAATGCGTTGGCGACACGAAACAGTTTCCGGATGCGATCAAACTGCCACCGGCGTCGTAATGGGACGTCGAGTAGGGCAGATCAGTCAGTCGGGGCGGTTTCTGCACCGGATTGGCGCACTTTAGATCGGCGGAGTTTTTTCGATCTGGAGAATGGACATCATTAATAGGTGTGTTCACCTTGCCATTTACATTACTAGAGGGACTTACAGAAGTGATCACCTCGACCTGGTTCGGCGTTTTCGTGTCCGGCATCGGTATCCGCCGCAGTCGGACCAACAGGAAGAGTATGATCAGCAATATAAATAGGATCAATATCACCAGGGCCGCACTCAGGCCGATGATTTGTTTGTTTTCGATGGCGAATCCGATATCGCGCATCACCACATGCAGGGTAAAATTGGCCTCGGCCGTGCCTGCCCGGTTCTCTACTACGCAGTAGAATTCGTTTGAGTCCGTATCCAGGGCATTGGTCAGCACCAGCCGGCTGCGCTTCTCAAAGTTACCCTGCTCGTATACGTACACTCGCTGATAGGAACTAAACTGGGAATTGTTGAGCAGTAGCTTTCCGTTCCAGTACCAATTGACGTTGGCCGAAGGAACGGCACTGGTTCTACACTCAATGCTTGCATTCTCTCCGGTGTATGCCTGGATGTATCTCCGCACCGGGAGCATCTCCGGTTTGCAGGCGAAATCATCCACCTGTAGTTCGTAGAATGATTTACCTATGATTCGCTCCGGGCCCCCAGCACAGACGGGAGGAATCGTGTAGGAAATTTTGTTATCCATTAGCCAAACCTTGGCGGCCCGCAGCCGGCAGTCACAGACCCAAGGGTTCTCATGCAGTTCGACCCCGTGCAGTTTATTTAGTGTTTCGATCGTTTTAGGCCGTAGTTCGGACAGCTGATTGCCATTCAGTTTGAGCGAGTGCAACGAGCTGAGACCCTCGAATGCCTGCGGTGCGATGGTTTGGATCTCGCAATAGGCAAGGTCCAGCTTGGTGAGGCTGGTTACGTTCCGAAAAGCGTGCGATTCGATCTTCTGTATGTGATTTCGAGCTAGCGTGAGATCTCTAAGCGACGGTATGTACTGAAACGCTGCCGATGGAACTGCCGTGAGCAAATTCAGCGACAGATCCACTTCGACGAGATTGGTCAACCCGGCGAAGGCCCCGTCGTCGATCTGCCCTATGCGACAGTTGCGCAGGAAAAGCTTCTGCAGATTGAGGAGATTCGCCTTGGTGAAGGTGTCCTTCGCCAGTATCTGGAGATTGTTACCGGACATATCGAGCACCTGGGTGGAATGGTCAATGTTATCCGGTATGAGCATCATCTGCTTATCGATGCACTCGACCGCTTGTTTGCCGCCTTTCCACTTGCATTGGCACATCGTTGGACAGCTGCGTTCGGCACCCGTTCGGACAATGCAGGCGGTTATCAGAATCAGCACCACCGCCAGAGCACCGTTCGAGATGATGGACGAGATTGAGGATGTTGATGTTTTCGTTCGATGAGAGCGTGATTTCGTCCGGCCTATACTAATGATGCCCGCCAATGGCATCGTAGTCGGTGCCGTTCTACTACTGCTGCTACTGTGCCACCGTCGCTTTTGTTCTTGTTGTTGTTGGGGTTGTTGTTGTTGTTGCTGTTCGGTCATGATGTGAGCCTGAGATTGAGCTCTTCCGTTTTCGTAGAATGAAGAGATCACTGGGATATGCTTCTTCAATGTCACTGATGGGTGCATGCGAGGTTGTTTGTGTGTGTTAACGCGGGCACGGTCAGCGGGGATGGATGTGCTGATGAGTCGGTATTCACACCCGACAGGATGGACCAAATGCTAGTAGCACGCGATTCGCTGCTGCTGCTGCTGTGGGCTCGCGTGGTAGCAGAGGAGACACTACCATATCAGGCTCTGGGTTGTCTGTTCCCCGCACAAACAGCAGTGGCCTAACGATGACGTTGCTGTTGACGATGATGCTGCTGATGATGATGGCGATGATGCTGCAGAGCAAAGGCTTTCATCTGTGTTTGCTTTACGCGCTGATGGTCTCCGGCCTTCGTTATCGCAGTTATCCAAAGGAATTAGGCGAGTTTCCTTTCTTCTCTAGGCTCCGGCGTTGAGCGTATAAAAGGGATTTTTGGATTTATTCGGCCTACAGCTTGTTTTCGTTTCGCATTTTTTCGCCTCCAGATTGAGGGGAGGGGCACGCGATCTAGATTATCAGATCCGAAGCAGGATAATTGCGCACAATGCCGTTGGTCTTTTTCGTCCTTTTAACGCGTCGAGGATTACAAATTATTAAGCTTATTACCGAGGGGATTATGTAATTTTCGCCTTTGATCGTTCGGTCCGTTCAGTGGGGCACATCGGCACGCACAACAACATGAGCACACGCGTGTCCGTCTTGTAGGGGCAGATTCTTCTTCTCTTCGGTGACTGCTCTTCGACGGGGTTTATGATCCAGTTTATCGAAGCAACCTTCTTAATCACACTTAATCCGAGGGGTGTTTTTCTTCGTCGCAACTAATTCACCATTTTAGACTTCTTGCTTCGTGTTCGTCTACTGGAAAGTCTTGTGCCTTGGGTCGTGCTTTGCTATGTTCACTATTCACTGTTACAGTTGGGTGCGCACATTCACTTCAACAGTGGCTGGTTCTTTCCTTTTAATGAACACTGAAGTGATTTTCGCTTTTCCACCTCATTTGCTTAGTCGTTTTGATCTTCTTTCACTCACTCACTGACTGGCTGACGGTCTGCCACCTACTTCACCGTCAATTGATTTTTCACGGAACAATTTTTCTTCGGTCTTTTCCTTCCACAATCGGCTGAATGCAATTATGATTATCACATTACTATTTATAATGCCTCGATGAAACGATAACCCACCCCAGCGAAGGCCTTTATTTTGATCCGTTTTCCCTCGTTACTTCACCTGGTCTGGAGCTCACGTGCATCCAGACCTCCCGCACCAGTGCACAAACCGTGGCAGAGAAAATTCATAAAAAATCAATTTTGTACATAAATCTATCTTTTTTATTCACTGGTAATAAATCCAATTTAATCCTTGTTATGTGTGAGCTTTATACGAAAATTTATTACGTAATACGTTCGGGAAGCGGCTCGGGTGCGAGATCCTGACGCACACGGTTTAATAGCCGGTCGGTCCACCACTCCGTGGACACATACACCCAAACACACACGGCTATGTTTTTATGCGTGAGAACTTGCGACCAGAACAATTGGCCGACCACAGAAGCACCGGGAAAAACTACTCGGAAATTGAATATTTCATAATCCTTTTTTGCGGTTCGTTACGGTTCTCGATTCTCGGCTTCCTTTCCAGTCTTTTACTGCCCAAAAACGGCCAACACGAACAGCACTCTATTCACCAATTTGTTTTTACGAGATATTCTCACGGCTCAATGTTTACATGAGTCCGTTCGTAAATCCTTGCGGTCATCCCCGTAACTCATTCACGTCAGTAGGGGCGCATCTTCTACAGTTAACTTCCTTTCCCTCACACGGTGTCTTTCGAGCAACAGCAGCAGCAAGGGGAAAGCACTTAATCTCGGGCGGTTTGCTTTCTTCCAGCTTCCGTTCCGAAATTGGCTTTCGAAATCTTAATTCACCACCACTCGCTCTCACTGGAAAACGATAATTACGAACTTCCGCCCATCAGCACTCGAGACCTGCCAAAATTTGAGGGCATTCCCACTTTTTTCTCGTATCTTCCCAGTGCCAGCATTTCTTCAGCGGCTTCTACGTGTGCATTAACGCGTTCCTACAACTGCGATTGATTTTTCTTCTCTTCACTTCTCATGATTGCTGCTTCCCCTCTTCTTCTTCCGCAGCTGCTTCTGCAGCCCACTTGCGTGTCGATATTAATGTTCGCCTTGCTCCGTGTTCTACCGCAGCGAGTTCAACACTCCACACAGGCCAATTTACTTCCTCCCCTTGGGCAAGAAATGGAAATTTTGGATGGGTCAAAATTGCTTCCTTCTCTTATTTGGGCTTCAGCTTTTCACTCTTTTCATTTGATGCCTTCCAGACTTCTGACAGTCACTCACTACACCGAGAGATAAAAACACCACGCACAGAATGACAAGCACGTCCGAAGCGCACGGTAAACAAGCATTGACTGAATCTTCCCAAGCACGCAAAACACACGAGCCTTGCGTACTAGAGCCCACCACGAAGCAGCAAATCAATGAACAGTCGGAGAGCTTCTTCCCACCGAGAGAGCCTTCTCGCAGTAAGAGCCCTCACACGGCCTTAATTATTGATTTGCTGCTTATCCGGCTGCCCTGAAAAGCGTAGATCCTCAATTATCTCCGCATGCCGTCTCTCATATAACCCAAAAGGTCTCTCCCGCTCTTCTCTCCCGTAAGTACAGGGTGCCACGGAGTTGTCGGACTTGGCCCGAACCCAACACAAACACAACCACTTCGGATCGCTCATGCGCGCTTCTTCCCATGGCCGTTCTCCCGTGTTCTGATTTCTCCGGAAAACTGCAACTAGAATCATCCTCATTCAATTAGCTCACGCTCTCATCCGAAAAGAAAAAAAAACAACATATCAAACCGTCGGAGTTTTGTCGGACTGGAGCGAGAATAAAAAAAAAAATCCTTATTCCCACTCATCCGTATTTACCATCATTACAACACATTTCCGATTTTTTGCTGACACCGACAGCAGCAGCACCGTACCGATTTGTGCTGATTCAACATGCGAAACAGCAAAACAAAACTCAACACACGAACGATATGGCTGGTTGGCGTGAGGAACCAGCGAACCTGAAAGCCACAACAACAACAACAACAACAACGATGGCGGAGCGACACATCTGTCTCGATTTCTTCAGGCTGGATGACAGGCGGAAGACTTAGGTAAGCAGGCCATGCAGTTTTAAGGAACTGTGATGAGGCGAAAAGGAGGAAGCCCTTGAAGGTATTTTGGTGAGGGGAATGAAGGATCAGCAGAGAGGAAAACAAAAATGAAGGGTGATCTTCGATTACAAGTTTAGGGAGAGACAATTGGGGTATAGATTTGGATCCAAGATTTGAGCCAGTCGCTAATTGGGTTTTTTTTTAGTTTAAAAAAATATGTGGGTCATCTGCAAAAGCGTCGTTTTCTGAGCGCAACAATATTTTTCTCGATTCCATAGAGTTTCATCTCGAATTTCTAATCAAGATTTAAAGCAAAATAATAAATATACTTGTTGACACTCAACTAGCAAATTGACAACTCGCTGCCATACACTGAACCAATATGACATATTCCTGTTATGTCGGAGGTCTAATAGATGTAGGCCATACGAAAATGTTTTTTTTTTTTCCTCTGGTTTGTTTTTTCCGTCGATCTTGTTTTCCGTGCAGAGCACCAATGCCGACGTGCCAGGAAGGCAGCTCCCACACCTGGACCCTACCTATCGACCCATCAACTCATGAACCGGGGACCAACGGCTTTACTTCCCATCCGAAGGAAGGCGTGTTCACAGATGTTATGGCTCAGAACATCCCGGCGGCGCCGACTGGGATTGAACCCAGGCCTGCTGGGGTGAGAGGTAATCATGCTTACCACTACACCAGGCCTGCTGGGGTGAGAGGTAATCATGCTTACCACTACACCACCGGCGCCATTTATTGAAAATGTAATTGCTATGATTGAAAATGTTTCAGGTAAATGTTCATTTGATACATTTTCAATGCTGATAAGTTAATAATTTTTGAGCAAAAGTTTGTTTCTTTGAAGAACTCGAACAGCTAGTACAATTTGGATATTTTGCGTCCTAAACGGAAAAGGGACAAATGGTACAAAAAGTTTTGTAGATCAAATAATGACAATCATTGGAATAGGTACACAATCGCGCGTAATAAGTATTCACAATCGATAAAGAAAACTCGTTGTGAATATGTTCAAAGGAAGATTGATCAGCATCAAAACAACAGCAAAGAAATATGGAAAATATTGAAATCTTTATTAAAACCTAGTTATTGCAAACCACGGTCCATAACTTTTAATGGCACATTAGAACAGTCAGAACAAATAATTGCAGCTAAGTTTAATTATTATTTTGTAGACAATGTTTCATTGATTAATCAATCCATTGAATTGGTCGATGAACCTGACGAAATAAAACAGCCAGTTAAAAGTAGTTGAAGATTTGAAGTTTTTCACCCAATTATATTAGATGAACTTAGAGTTATTTGTTTTTCATTAGGAAAATCGGCTGGAGTTGACAATGTTAATGCTAGAGTTATTCAAGATTGCTTTCATGTCATTGGTAACATCTTGCTGGACCTTTTTAATGAATCATTGCAAACTGGACATGTGCCACAAATTTGGAAGGAATCCTTAGTGGTTCCTATTCAAAAAGTTGCTGGAACGATTAAAGCCGAAGTGTTTCGTCCGATCAACATGTTGCACAAATTAGAGAAAATTTTAGAACTTGTTGTTGAAGGCCAGCTGTTGGAGTATTTAAATAGCAATAGTTTGACCTTCCCGATATCCCGATTGTTCTGGTATCAAATCGGGATATCGGGAAGGTCATTCTTGTGAAACCGCGTTGAATTTGGTATTAGCGAAGTGGAAAAATAACTTGGAGTTTAAAGATTTGATCTTAAACGCGCTTTTGAAACAATTTCTAGGTCCTTATAACCTTACCATTTTCAAAAAGCTGTAAAATTTTGCCCTTTGGGTTAATTTTAATGAAATTTTGGGTGAGATGATCTCAGCTTGTATTGTTTGCAGTGCGTGAGTTTCATTGTGAAATGTCTAGTAGTTTTGAAAATGGAGCCGAAGGAGCAGCGCGTGCGCGACAAATTTTGCACACTCACCTCAACTACTCTCATTCTTCGCACCGAACCATCGAAAAGATGTTGAGAATCCAACAATCTACTGTTTTTCGTGTCATAACACGTTTCGAAGAACGTTCAACTGTCGATCGGAAGCAAGAAGTGCAAGGAAAAGTGTTCCGTACTGCGTTGAAAATCACAAGCGAGTGGTTGCTGCCTTCAAATGCAAACCCAACTATTCCGTTCGGGATGTCGCAAAAAACCAATACATATTCAGTCGACATAGTTCATTTTAGTAAACATACTAACACTTCTTCCTTGTGTTGTATGCAGCTTCCCAAAATGCTACAAAATTTCCAAAACATATCACTGCTGCACTTCTACGTTTCTCGTTGATTTTTCGCGAAGTTCCTCGTGTGGAATTTCTTGAACTTGTACGTAATTCCCTTAACTATTCCAAACTTATTGTCGAGACCTGGTCGAGGTATCTAGCCTCGCTCATTCGTCTTAAAAATGCCGCTCGCGCCAGCACAACCGTGCTCTACAAGATTGGTCAAATAACTGATTATATAACACATACTCACAGACATACAAACCACGGTCCGTACACGGTCCAATTGAAGAATCAAAGTGACGATTGACTCGCAGATGGCGAGTGGGTGAAAATGGTAATGACGTTTTGATATCTGTCAAATTGCATGACGTTTTTTTAGTACATCATCATTTTTGTAATTGTGGATCTGAAAATTAGGTGTCGCATGGCCAGTTTTGGCTTTACTTTGATTTGCCAATGGGTGTACTCTAGACCTGTTCATTTTAACAGAAATATTCTGAATGCACCGGGTCAACCGTGATTACTGTTCGTCAAGTTAATTTGAACTTCTGTGCAAATTTTCAGCAAAATCGATGATGATTTAGAGGTGCGTCAAATCAATTTTATGTTTTAAGGCAATTTACGGCTTATAATATTTGTATCTCGAGACTGAAACAACGAAAACTGCTATAACAACTTTCATAGCAAAGCTTAATGTGTTATCTACCAACTTTGTAACGAAAAGCTGACTATTCAAAGTGATTTTATTGAAGTTTGACTTAGTTTCATGCTTGAAGATATCTTAAAAAGTGAAGAATTTTAAAGTATTTGTTCTACGATTTTTCCACCCATCCAATATAAAAATGTGTAGTCTATGGCATAATGTTCCTCATACTGTTCTAGAAATTTAATTCCAACATAGTTTTCATGTAGATTCCATAGATTGAGAGATAAAAATCAGAAAAGAGGCCATTATAGCTAAAATTCACAAGACAACAGAGCCAATAAAAGTTTCAATTTGATTGACAAAACATAGTTGCAATACTTTTCAATGACCACCGATGACTGTTTCATTGATAGATGATTTTTTTAGAAATATGAATCCTCAGTAGACGTGTTTTTTTTTTATACTGTACCCTACTTTAGTGAAATTAACAAACTCAACACGGTAGCCATCATTCATTTTAAATTAAATTAAACTTTACTCCTTGGCAAATTGTACATTGTACATTTAATACTAAATCAATATAAAATACTATTTATTGAGGGGGTAGTACACTTTGAACGTCCAAAAAGTAAGGCATTTTCGTTATTTTTTTGAAGCAATAAAACACTCAGGGAGGGAAATGTGGTATAACCCATTTATTAGTCATCCTTCGAACTACAATTAGTATTTTTTTTGAACTCGATTGGCGTCTCCCCGTGGCCGGTGCACCAGGTCGCGTGGGCGTCCTCGCGCGGAAGTCGGAAAACGGCGTGGGAAAATACTCCTTTCCATGTGATCCTGGAACATAAATCGAACAAGAATCCTGATTAGTAATGAAATTTGGGTTAGAAATACGTATTCCAATTTTTTTTTAAATTAATTTTTTCAAAAGTTGTGGCCTTAGGACAAAAAAGTCTCTTTTTTCACCCTAAAAATGCTTACAAAATCGTGGATTAAAAATCCATTTTTGACAAAATCGAAAATGTGGATACGTATTTCTAAGAGGAATTTAATTCTGAACAAGAAAACCTAGGCGATATCCAAATTTGATGATAACTGTTTAGAGTTATTTCCCACGCCAGTTTGAAAAACCCCGTTTCGAGATAAACGCGTTTAAAGATAAAAATGCTCTCTCAGCGCGCCGGTACATGTTTTAGGAAATCGCTTCGTAAAGCGGTAAGGAATATTCTGGCGGACTTGGAGTCTTTTCTAAATTAAAGTATACATCCCAAGAAACATTTTAGGCCAAAAAAAATACATTTTTTGAAAAATCAAAGTGTACTCCCCCCTTAAAGTATCCTGAAATTATA